CCCTTCTTCTATTAGCAAATATAAGGTCTCCATTGCTGGTGGATGTAGAGGCCAACTTTGTCATCCTTAGGAGATTCTTGTAGTTAAGAGCTTCTAATCCATGTCCTAAATTCTGTTCCTAATGGTCCAGACCCATGTGGCTCAAGAACATCCTGTTCCCTGGCCAGTGTTGTTGTGCAGCAGGTTAAGCCATTGCATCATCAACATTCCTCATCAAAGAGTTGGTTAAAGTTCCTTCTACTCCACTTCGATCCTGCTGTCTGCTAATGTGCCTGGGAAGGTAGTGGAAGATGAGCCAAGTGCATGGTTCCTGGCCACCCATGTGGGAGACCTGGGTGGAGCTCTTGGGTTTGGTCTGGTTCAGCCCTAGCTGTTGCAGCCATTTGGAAAATGAACCAGTAGATGGTGGACCTCTTTCTGTCTGTCTCTGCATCTCTGTTGCTTTGCACAGCAAATACAAATAAATCTTCAAAACAAAATAGCCTTGTGTTCTACTTCCAGCTCTTCTGTAAGTCATTGTTGTACCAGATGTGGGGCTATAGCTATGCACAGGTTGCCCCACCAGGGTCACTATGGTCCTTTCTCAGAGCCCACACTCAGGTGGGAGAGATAGACACATTTGTGAGCAACCACACTGGACTGTGACTAGTGCCTGGTGGAGAAATATCACTCCTCCCTGGTGGGCTGCACACTTGCTGGGCACATGCAGACTGTAGCATGTGGAAGCACATCTGTGTGAGGGATGCTAGAACCAGCAGGATGTGCTGCTGGCAGGAGCTGCCCTGGTGGGAGCTTTGGTGTGTCTGGAGCATGTTCAGAAATGATGAGAGATGCTGTTGTCCTGCCCCTCATGTGCAGTTCTCTGCAGAAACCTGTGTGCCTGCCGGCCCTGGAGCTCAAGCTGCAATCTCCTTGGTTCCTCACTACAGGGATTTTATGAGTAGTAGAGGAAAGCTGGGTTCTAGTCCAACTATATCACTGATAGTTTGGGCTCCCTTGATAAAGCCCCTTCACTTTCCATGCTTCAGTTTTCTCAGTAAAATGGAAGAGAAGGAGTCTGCAGCTATAAGAACTGGAGTCAGGGTTTCCAGAACCTTCTGGAAAGCATCTAACAGATGCCTTAACCTGTCTAAAGGGGAGACAGGGCATGTCCTGATTGACCTGATTTTTACCGTGTCCTGATTTATCACTGTTCAGTGATAGTTGTTTTGCCTGCTGCTGAGAGGAAGTCCCATAAGAAGGATTGGCTGAATCCTTCGCAGATGAGCACCCCCTACTCCCCCGCAGGCTGTATAATAGCCTGCTGAGCCAGGAACAGAGTCCCAGTGAACTGGCTGATTGCATTCCACGAGGCTGCTCTGCTTAGCCACCTCCTGATTGGACAGAGCTCAGCCAGTGCAGGAAGAAGTGAGGGCTGGACTCCCAGGAAAGCTTCCTGCCTTTGTGGCCAGGGTAGTGCACACTAGGAAGACCACCAGCCAGAAGCCCTCCCCAGACCCTCCTCCTCCAGCACCTCCTGCCCCCAGCACCCAGTGTCCCAGGAAGCATGACTCCCCCAGTCTGGTTCTTCTATTTGGGAGAAAGGGTGGCTTGCTTCACCACAGGAACATTCCGTTGTTCAGAAAAGATGCCAAGAGCATCAGTGTTTGCTACTGACCCAGGGCCCTGCCCTTGGGCACAGAGTGGGCAATCCAGCCTCTGCTTCTTGTCGTTCACCTCTGTACTCTCTTGTAAGGAGTCTCGTTCATGACTCACAACGTCCACTCCAGTCCCTGTTCATAGTCCTCTTGGGGGAGCCAAGCAATGCACTTATTCCTAAAATCTCTGAGTCCCCTGACATTTTTTTTTATAAAAATTTGTTTTTATTGGAAAGTCAGATATACGGAGGAGGAGAGACAGAGAGAAAGATCTTCCATCCAATAATTCACTCCCCAAGTGACCACAATGGCCAGAGCTGAGCTGATCCGAAGCCAGGAGCCAGAAGCTTCTTCTGGGTCTCCCACGTGGGTGCAGGGTCCCAAGGCTTTGGGCTGTCCTTGATTGCTTTCCCAGACCACAAGCAGGGATCTGAATGGGAAGCAGGGTGCCAGGATTAGAACCATTGCCTATATAGGATCCTGGCATGTTCAAGGTGAAGATTTTAGCCACTAGGCCATCACGCAGGGTCCCCTGACATTTTAAACAAGCCAGTTCTTCCATAGACTGTCACACACTTGCCAGCTCCCCTGTGGCTGAGTCCTATAAAATCCACTTTCTCCTTTTACTCCCTGCCTGCTTGGAGGGAAAGTACTTCATCCCCTTTGGTGTCCTCCCCTGCCACTCACCTTCTCTGCCCTCCCCTGCTTTACAGCCTCCGCATGCCCCCAGTGTCTCCGGCTCAGCTCTGCGCTCTGTGCTCACAGACAGCACTGATCCTGGCTGAACACCTTTCCATGCTTCCCACTGAATGCACACTGTCCTCTGGGACCCAGGTGAGGGAAGGCCAGGAGAGTCCAGATAGGGAAGGTTCCTTTGTGCGGTCATTGCTGCCCCCACGTGGTGTATCACGGCACACGGCGGGCTTGCGTGCAGCATCCTGGATCACCAGTTAGTTCTATGCCCCATATCAGTAGGAACATGTGGACTGTGTTGGCCAAAACAAAAAATCCTCTGTGTGAATGCAATGGAGACCACCAGCCAATCCAGTCACTTTGTGTTCATCCTTGCCATGAGGAAGCAGCATTCTTCCTTTTCCTGTAAGAATGGCTCTGGCGGATTCACAGGGGTGAAATTCTGTAGGTTGTGAAAAACAGCAGCCACCTTGTCCCAGGTTCCACCACCTGGCTCTCTCTGCACTGAGACATAAACACAGAGGAGCTGAGCTCCTTACAGAAGCTTGGCAGACCAGGCTCCGGTGTAGATCCAGGTAGGGAGAGCTCTAGTTGGCATCCTACCCCAGCTGGTACCTCGGTACCCTTCCCTGTGAGCTTTTAGGGAATGGGAAGATACTTATGAGGCTTGAAGTGTTGTTTCCCTTCCCCCTCAGATTGAGCCCCTCAACTATGTCCTTCATGAGAAACAAATTCAATTCAGTTAACCACGTGGAGATTCATTAGTGACCCAGGACAAGATTAAAACAAATGTGAAGATCTTGGCTGGCCTTTGTGGCTTCAGGATTGGACAAACACATCATTCTGTACGTAGCTGGAGTGCTGTGCTGCCAGAGCACTGGAGGTTGATTTTATAGAGAGAAAGGTTGGAGAAAGCAGACTCAGGGACCACTAAGTATACTCATTATTTCCAAGTTACTTGGCTTAAGAAGTTAAAAACTGAGAGAATATTCTCATCATACCGGCTCAGTCTGACATTTTGCGGGTGGTGCTATTATCTACATCTCTTATTCTTAGGAGGTGAGATAAACAACCTGGTACTGTGGCCGTACGTAGGGAATTTCAGCATGCTGTGGAATGCTAGTCCTAGTGCAGGAGTTTGTCCTGATCTAACACCTCCCAATATCTTAATGTCCTTGAGCATGAAGGCAGTGGCCCTGACATTGTGCGGGACTCAGGCTGTGATTGTGATACCAAATGTATGACCGGTAACCCCAGGCCTAGAGGGAGGCCATTGCCCCTCCACCCTTCAGCCACCTCTTTTCTGCTTTTGGTGGCCATTATCTCTGCTACAATGGTAGGGATTCTTGCCATTTGGGGCTCAGTAAATGATAATGTCATCATTCAAACCCTCAGCCAGTCTTCATTGGGTTTCTCATTTCAGGGTAACTGAGAAGCATGGGAAATCCATTGCTAGGAAGCGTGATGGGAAAGGAACAATGAGGAGAGCGAGGATATGTAATGAAGTGAGATGAGAGGAGGATTAGAACAAGAGAGAGGCTGATATTTGCAGTTGTGATATAGACTTCTGGGCTTTGGTTTGAGAAGCTGGTCAGTTATAAAGGGAATTTATCACTATTTCCTGTTTTGTCATGGAAATTCATATTGTGGAGTCATTGTGTGATTTGAAAGGTTCAAATTCCAGGTTGTGAAACAGCAGTTGCTCAATGTACTTAGTTTCAGTGTGTTGTGCTTACCTGTAAGGCACTGACATTGGAGGTTGAGGTGGGGAGATTTTTATTGTCCTCTCCTGCCGCCCACCATGTCCATTTTGTAGGGAGCATAAGGCATCCCAGATACCCTGGCACAAGCCTCCACATGGATTCTCCTGTATCCAGACACCCTCAAGAATAGGACTAGATGAGAGGAGGCATCCCACAGAGCTTAGGAACCATGTAGATAAGCACTTTGCGGAGGTACATGGTACACACCAGTAGAGCTGGGTGAGAGTGCAAACATGCACACTTTCAAGGTAGGTCATACCTACCTGACCTCATCAGGAACAAGAGTCTTGTTGATGACATGGGAAAGGGCTTCTGGCGAGGATGACGTGAGGACATACATGCACATCACTCATGGAAACCACATTCAATCCTAGTGGGTGCTAGCTACCCTCTTCTGACCTGTCCACACTCTGCTCACTGCACTCTCCAGCCAGTCTTCTGGCCTGGGGAAGCCCACATGCACTTGGGGAAATGCATATTACAGTAACCACACATGTTCCACCTTAGGCATAAAAGCATTATTTATTCTTTTAATTCAGCTGCAGGTAGGATGAGGAGTCTCACTTAAAAAGCAGGGCTTTGGCATGGAAGACTGGGGTTCAATGAACAGGCAAAGCTCCAGAGTCTAAGAGGACCACAGTGACTGAGGACCAGCCTATGAGACTGAAAAGAGCTGAAGCCAATCACCTTGTATGCCGTGTGCTGTGTGATGGAACCAGACAGCTCTGACTGGGAATGACTGGGGAGGTTTGTGTTGGTTAGAGGAAGACAGCCAGTTGGTCCTGGTGTGAAAGGCAAGCAGGGGTGCCTGACTCGTGTCCCTGCCACTTCCTGAATGCAGCCAACATGGGAGGGCTATGCAGACATTGCCACACAACAGTGCATGCCCATCCCTGCCATCCTCACATCACTGCGTCTTTGTCTTCAGGGTCTGCCTGTGCTGTTCCACCAGGGAGCCAATCCACTCTGTGGTCTTCTGCTTGGCTTCCTCCCAACTGAAGAGTGGCTCATAGCCCAGATCTTGTCGAGCTTTCTGGTAGGAGAAGGTGAACACGCTATTGCACAGTGTCACCAAGTGGCGATTGAAGGGGGGTTGATAGTTGTAAATTGGAGCCAGCAGGAAGCTCACTAACTCCAGCAGGAAGGCAAGCCAGTACTGCAGAGACAGAGGCAGGCTGGGTGTGGAATCGAGGCAGAGGCCCCACTTTCGGCTCAGCGTGTAATTGAGGTTGTCATAGCTCTGGTGAGGAGTGTTGTCTGCAATGTAGTAGAACTTTCCCTGGATGTTTGGAGCCTTTTGGAGGTCCCGTAGGACCCTTGAGGCCAGAATGTGAGCCCAGGCTACGTTGCCTACATAGACTGGGTTGACTATGGAGAACCTCCCTGAATTTATTAGAATCTTGTTGTTCTGCAGTGATCTACTTATTGTATTAGCCAGGAATTTGCTTCCTTCCCCATAGATGTACGTGGGCCTCAAAGCACAAGTGTACAAAGTGCCACCATTTTTGAGAGTGTCTCCATTGGCTGCCAACACTGCCTTCTCAGCCAGCTTCTTGCTGTGTGGGTATGGAGCAGACCATGTGCTTTCGCGATGCTCTCCCTCATGGCCATTCCTGACGATTTCCTTGTATGAGTTGGGTCCAGCCACTTCCATTGAGCTGGTGTAGATGAAGAAGGGCACACTGGATCGAACACAGGCTTGCAGCAGCAGCTGGGTACCTGCCGCAGGGAACAAGCTGTCATTGTCTGGAAATCAACCTTAGAACGCCACTATCTATGGTCTGGTGCATTCCCTGTCGCACCTCCCAAGGGAGCATTGGTTGTCAACATCTGCAACACACACCGTTCTCTGTTTCTGGGGCAGACACAGCTAAACTGATCTACAGTGGCATGGGTTCTGTGCAGAGCAGGAATTTGAGATTTGTTTTTCATTTACCTATTGTGTGCATGAGTGTGTGTTAATTTTCTGGTATGATTGAATTTCTGAAAAATGCATGGTAGCCAGTTTACATGTTTCCAATTTAGACATCCAAATATTTTTTATGTTTTATTTCTGCCTTCTTCTGAAGGCCGTGTTGGTCTGAATCCAGGATATCTGGAGGCCACACTGGATTATGGACATTCCTGGCCTCAGTCACCCAAGGACACTGCCTGTTTCCTGTCGTACTCCGCCCACATCATTTCACTGTGCAACATGCATTCTTCAACAAACCTCTACGGATTGTGCTCGCCTCCCTGGCCAGTAAACCCTTGAGCAGCAGGCCTGTCTAGATCTCTGAATTGTGGGCATTCCTGGAGACTGAGCCTTTGTTTCTGTTTGTGTGTGAAGGCTGCTTCTTATTTAGGCTGTGATTCTATTTACCCTTATGTAAACTGTCCTACTACTGATCTTCCAGTAGTCTGTATTGGCCACTCCTATTGAGTCAATGAAGAATTGGGTATCTCTTCTGCCCCCTGCTGTTGATCCCTGTAATGGGAGGATGTTGTGCAGCTGAGTTAGCATGACTGCCTTGAAGGACATCCTGTTGAAGGACCTTTTCTCACATACGAATGTGTGTGTTTACACACAGGGATGTGATTTGGTGCCTTTGACCTTCAACATGTTGGTGCAATCTGATATGTAGAGAGAGTCTCTTTAAAAAATTTTTTTAAAGATATATCCAGTTCAAGAGAAAATTTGGGGTTAGTTTACCTGCAGGGCAGAAAAGTACATAACTATAAAACATAGTCTAACCTGATAGTGCTAATGGGCCTAGAACAGTGACATTCTCATGCTTTCTCTATTTTTTTTTTACATCCCCTATATTTGTAGCTCTGCAGAGAAGGACCCACACACTGAAAATATGTTGTCCATTTTGTGCTCTTTGTAGGTGGGAACAGTGAGGGGTGTAGTTAAGCAGACACTAAAGATGAGCCTTTTTCCTGCAGTGGTCCTGGAGCCTGAAAGAACTTGGTTCCTACAGAGCAGGAGTCAGTGAACAGTCAGTGTAGCACTGAAGCAGGGAGGATGCTGAAGGCATCCAGTGTTTGAAGGCAGTTTTGCACCGTGTAGAGGGATGACATCATCTGGTAGCACCCTGGGTTTTGTGTCTAGAGTTTACTGGATTGGGAAGTCACACTTCAGAGAGAAAGCCCAGGGCTCTGGGAGACAAGGGTCTCATGAGTGTGTCCTTGGAGCCCTGGCTTTGAGTTGCTCAATTCCCCAGTGGCAAGATGAAGAGCTAGTATTATGAACAGTAAGAAGCTTTGATTTTAAAAATGAGGAAGGTGTGTGCTGGAGGGTTCTGTCATGGTGGACTTGGGTGGACTGGCTTTGCTAGGTCTTATGAGTGTAGTCTTTTTAATTTTAGATTTATTTATTTCAAAGGTACAGTGACAGACACACACACACACACACACACACACACACACACACACACACACACAGAATGAATCATCCACTGGTTCATTCTCCAAGTGGCCCTATGGATGGAAGTGGGGTAGGTCACACAGTCAGGAGCCTGAACTCTATCCAGGTCTCCAACATGGTGGCTGTTGGCAGTATGGCAAGTTGGGCCTTAGCTGCTGCCTTCCCGGATGCATTAGCAAGGAGCTGGGCTATAAGCAGAACAGTACGTCCAAAAACTCCTTATGAATTGAGATGTTGGTGTTGTAAGTGGTAGCTTAGCATGCTGAAAACATGTTTGATAGGTGCAGGAACCCCTGGCAGCTTCTCCAAATTCCCCACAGAAGGGCTAACAGAACAACTAACAAAGGATCTACAAGATCTGATTCCTGCCTAGATTAGGCAGGGCATGTGGGCTGGTTGGATGTCAAGTGCTAGTGTTGGATTTTTACTAGTTTTGATTGCAGCAGAAGAGAGAGCCTTTTGCACTCTTAGGTCATGCAGATTTGACCTTACACTCTAGTTTTCCTATTTATATATGGTTGCATGGACACCTCATTTGCCCTCACTCTGGCCTAGTCTGCCCGTCTTAGGCACTGAGGATAAAAGCCCTGAACTCTTTCTCTTGGGAGAAGCAAAGGAATGTGGTGCAGAGTTCAACAGATGTCGAGCATGGGAGATTCTCTTCCTTTCTTACCAATGTCCCTTCCTCACCTGGTTCAGTTATTCCCCAGGTTGCTCTTACCTTTCAGATTGACATCCATGATGACGTCTCTGGGAATGACACCTCTGACATCAATGAGACAGGCAGTGTGGATGACAACGGAGATGCCCTGGCAGGCTGTGACGAGGCACTGCTCATCCAGAATGTCTTCTTCCAGCATGGTCAGCTTGATCTTGTTCTTGAGCTCTGTGTAAACACAAGGCAGGATGTGTGGAAGCTTTCTCAGAAAGTTTCAGGAAGCTTCCTGGTAAAAGGGATATTTCCCTAGATCGTTGAGGATTACTATAGTGGAACTAGGATGCACTGAGGACACATTCTCTGCAAGCACAAGCCAACAGAGACTCAGAAATCTAACAGGTTAGCATTTCTTGGGAACAAGCAAACATCTGTTTCCATTCTTTGTTATTCCACAAAATGAATATGCATCTCTACTTCCAATGCAAAGCTGAATTCCCAATGAAACTGTTAAATATATCTTGACAATATGATGCTGGACTGACTCCCTGCCATTGTCTATACTTACAATGTTAGGATACACTTAAATAACAGAATGATGAACTTGTAACTGTTTATGAAGGACTATACTACTGTAATAATATGGGGGTGGGCTCAGCGTGGGCATGGGGCCTGGAGAGGAGGAGGGTTCTGTCTTGGGTGTGAGCAGGGACCCGCCCTGGTGGCTGGGGTCAGGCAGGAGGGTCGCTGAGTCCCTAGGCCTGAGGGAGTGGGAGTGCCCTGTACTGCCTAGTGGGACGCTGGCCACAGGGTCGCCCTTGGGGAACCCCAGTTTGCTGGCCAGGCTGGGACGGTTGTGGGATTTGGGGAAAGGAGAAGGTGGAGGACAGAAGAGGGGACGCGGGAGTTTCTAAGTGTCTGTTTACCTTCCTTTTCCCCCTCCCACTGTTGGTGGGTTTGATTTTTCATGCCATCTTAGGGACTTGGTGTTTTGTGAACAAGGTCAGAAAAATAAAAACTGATTATTGGAGTAAAAAAAAAAACAAGAATATGGGGGAAATCAGTGGGTAGGGGGAGGACCTTTGGGGATGGAGGAAAGGAAGTCCCAGAATCTACGGAACAGTTTTGCATATATAAAGTTATATATATATATATATATACACACACACACATACATATATATGTGCATTATATATAACATATATAATGCATCATAACAGTATTATATACTGTATATAATCATATATAAAATACATTCATAATATTCATATTATAAATATAAAGGAATATGAGAAGGGAGGTAAGCAAGTCTGCAACACAAGCGTCATTACATAGAAGCATGGGGAATCCATCAAATGGTGAAGGAAACTGGGGTAATTGTGCAGAGTTGGGTGTACGAGGGAAGAATTGGAATTTAACTCTATGTGGAAGAAGAAATTATGTGTAGATTTGGAATTTTAGGAGAGAGGGAGCACAGTTGTGGGCAACAAAGCTAACACTGGCCTCAGGATGTCAAATGGGCTTGCATGGCAGGGTTAGAGAGCCAAGGCTACCTTGAGACCATGCAGAATGTATGTGGAAAGTTAAAATCAGGAGGACCAAAGTAGAGTTCCAGTGGTGGGAGCAGAGAAGAGGAAAGACACCCAATATTTAATTTCAGACCTTCTGTGGACAGGCCCTTGTACTCAGTAGATGTGGCCTAGGGGTGGAGGAGTCATGCTGAGGTCTACCACGCTCATTTAAGGTTGTGGCTGTTGATTACCCTCTTGGTGGTTCAGAAACCGAGCATCAGGGCAGTTGAGACACTGACGGAAGGTCATACTTACAGTGGAAGCTTGAAGCTTAAACTAGCCTCTGTGTCTCCATCCCTGCCCACTTTTACCTGCACCTCACATGTGGGAATCACTGTTTAGAACCAAGAGTTCTGAGTTTGATGCAAGGAACAATGATTTAACTGACACCGATAATGGAGGCAGAGGGACAGGAAGACAATGAACAACTATAGAACATCAAGTTGAGCAACCTAGAAGAAATGATACTTTTCTGGTATATAGACTACCAAAATAGAAGTACAAGATACAGAAAACCTGAACAGATAGGACATAAGTAATGAAATGAGTTAATAATATAAAAGTGTCTTGAGAACAACAACAACAGAACTTGATGGTTTCCTAGGTAAATTCTATGAAACTATTAAGGAACAACTAACACAAATTGTGTAATTATTTCAAGAACATTCCAAGGGATTCTAGCCAGTTCCTTTTACAAACCCAGTATCATGATCCTTTAACTGGACAAGGATACAACAGCAAACCAAATGTGCAGAACAAAATCCCTGAAGAATATAGATACAAAAACTGTTTAAAAAAATACTAGCAAACCATACCCAATAGCACATCAGGGAAGGTGGTTCGCTGTAACAAATAGGATGCGAGGATGGTTCAAATTAGGCAAATCAAACTATGTAAAATACTGTATCAACAGAAAGAAGAACAAAAATTATGTGATCATACCAATAGTTGCTGGAAAGTCACTAGATAAAGTTCAACAAGCATTCATGGCAAAACTCCTGAGCAATCTAGAGAGAACATACTGAACATGAGCAAAGCTACCCATGACTAAACCACAAGCAGTGTCATATCAATAGTCAAGGTTCCAAAAATCTCCTTTAAGATCTGGACTCAGACAAGGATGTGTTCTTTCATTATTATGTATTCAATATAATTCAAAATGTTTTGTCACAGCAAGAGGAAATAAAAAAGAAAGAAAGAAAGAAACAAACAAACAAACATGGAATCAGAATATCCATGTGGCAGATGACATAATTGTAAAAATAGTAAAACCACTAAAAAAGTATCAAACGTGATCAATCAATTCAATAAAAAAGGTTAATAGTATTTTTATATACCAACAATGAACTTAATAACGAATTTGCTGAGGTAGAACTAATAAGAGAAATATTTTTCATTACAGTTAGAAAAATAAATAAATACCTTGGAATAAAATTAGCCAATTGAGTCGTTGCTCTGCTCCTCTTGGAATAAAATTAAATGAGAAAGTGAAAAACCTCCATAACAAAAGCTATGAAATATTAATGAAAGAAAAATTTGAAATACAAAATAGAAGATAGTTTGTGTTTATGGATTAGAAGAATTATTATGAATTTTTTTAAACAGTTTAATTATTGGAGATAGGTTGATTTCCCCCTGTTGTTCATTTCCCAAATGGCCACAGCAATCAGATAGTCAGTTGCAGGTTGAAGCCAGAAGCCAGGTGTTCTATCTGGTCTCCCATGTGAGTGGCAGGGACCCAAGTATTAGGTTATCTTCTGTTGTCTTACTAGGTACATTAACAAGAAATTGAATAGAAAGCATTTGGCTGGGATTTTTTTTTAAAGATTTATTTGTTTTTATTGGAATGGCAAATTTACAGAGAGAAGGAGAGGCAGAGAAAGATCTTCCATCTGCTGCTTCACTCCCCAAGTGGCTGCAATGGCTAGGAACAAGCTGATCCGAAATCAGGAACCAGAAGCCTCCTTCTGGTCTCCCACACAGGTACAGGTTCTCAAGGCTTTGGGCCATCCTCTACTGCTTTCCCAGGCCACAACCAGAGAGCTGTAGGAAAAATGGGGTAGCTGGGACACCAACTGGTACCCATATGGAATCCTGGCACATGCAAGATGAGGATTCAGCTGCTAGGCCACTACACTAGGCCCCTCAGCTGGGATTTTAATCGGCACTCTAATAGGGAGTGCTGGCTTATAAGTGGCAGCTTAGCTCATAGTTCCACAATGTTGGCCCAAGAAGTTGTGCTTTTAAAATATCCATACTCTGCATGGCAATTTACTATCTCAATGCAGTTCTCATCGAAATACCAAAGCCATTTTCCACAGAACTCAAAAAAAAAAGAGAGACATTCTAAAATCCGTTTGAAAGCACAGAAGTCCCTGAATAGCCTACATAATCTTGAATGTAAGAAATAAAGTTGAAGGCATCACAATAGTTGATTTCATAAACATGCAAGGAAATTATTTTAGCCAAAACAGAATATATTGGATCGAAAAAAAGAAACAGATAAGTGAATGGATCAAAACAGAGAACCCAGAAATAAACTTTTGTTTCTATAGTAAACTAATTTTAGAAGAAAGGACAGCTCTTCAATAAGTAGTGCTAGAATAACTGGACAGCCATAAGCAGGACCAAGTAACTTGATATTATGTGTCACCTTCTACAAAAAAATACATTGTAGTGGGTCAAAGACCTAAATAAAAGTTCTGAAACAACTGTGAAAGCACTAGAAGTACTATAGGGGAAATGCTTGAAGACAAGTTTGATTGGCAACTGTTTTTAAAATAAGACCCCAAAAGCGCAGACAACAACAACAAAGCTGGACAAATGGGTCTCTGTCCCAATAAGCAGGAAGCCATCCACAGAGTAAAGACACAACCTACAAAACAGGAGAAAGCATTTTCAAATGCTTCCTCAGATTACTATACAGAAAACACAAGCGATTAAAAAACTCAACAACTGGTTATGAAGTGGGCAGAGGATTTGAACAAACATTCCCTCAAAGAGGAAGTACAAATAGTCTACAACTACATGAAGAACATGTTCAATATCACCAACCATCAGGAAAAGGCAAATAAATGCTGTGATGAGCTGACATTCCCATGAAATTAGAATGCTTATAATCAAAGAGACAAAATATAGAGGATATAGAGAAAGGGGAACACTATCGTTAGAAGGTGTATTACTACAGTCATTATGAAGGATAATATGGATTGTTCCCCAATCTAAAAGTAGATGGACCAAATGACCCAGTGACTCTTCTAGGTAAATAACTGAAGGAAGTGAGACCAGAGTATCAGGGGACAAGTGACAGCTTTAGTTCCTGGGTGTTATGCAGGGAGCTGTGTGTGTACAGTGCAGGGACCTATAGGCAGCCAGGGTCTACCTGTGGGGTAGAGTGGGGAAACAAAGGCTTAAGAAATTGGTTTGGGGCATTGGGGGCACTATGGAGAGACTGAATATAGACTTTGTCAGCAGTCAGCCCTTGAGCCATGTGTCAGGGCTCGAGTGTGAGCCATGTTCCTCAGTAGCCAGTGCAAAGCTCTCTGCCAGTGTGGGCTTGAAGGGCCTCATTGTCCAGATGGGTCATTACCCCTCTACTCTTCCCCAAAGGGCTATTATGTTGAGTTTCTGGTGGTAGAACTGGGTGAGAGGATCATTCTCTAGCAAGGTCCTGTGTTTGTCCCAGGAAGCAATTTGGGAAAGGAATGGTGGTCTGTTCCAGCCACATCTGAAGCCCCGTTGTTGTGGGATGAGGAGCAGGGAAACGGTCAGGAAGAGATGGACAGGGAATCCAGGGAGGCCATTTCTGAGCTATGCATTTCTCACTGTGGATCTGGCTTTGCTCTGTGCACGTGGCCGCATGTTGTTTATTCTCTGCACACATACACAATCTCTCTCTCTCTCTCTCTCTCTCTCTCTCTCACACACACACACACACACACATACACACACTCAACTCTAGCTTTATTTCGTTTTTCCTTCATTGAAGATGCTATGTGAACCACAAAAGCAAAACATAAAGCAAACCCAGAACATTTCTCTGAGGTAGGGACCTGGTGCTAAGACCACAAGGCTGTTGGGGCTTGCAGGTGTTTCTCAGTGAGAGTTGAGGACATGGCAGGGGAGTGAAGTGTGAATTTCTCCATGAGAAGTGTGAACTAGAGGTGGGAGTGCTAGCCTGCACTCCCTCTCTCCAGCTCTAGATCCTGCCATGGTTCTGTCTCCTACACCCACTCCAGGGTCTTTCATACTATGCCTTCTGTGAGTTGCTTAAAGATGACTATGAACATGAGATTAGCCTTGGTGTTGCTACAACTTTCCTAAATTTCCTGACAAGGACTCCCTTCCCATATCCACACAGAGTATACAATGGAGCCCGGCATCCAAGCCTTGAGTCCACTTACTTGAAAATTCCTCCTTCACTTCTGGTTCAAAGACCTTGTCCAGGATCCTGAGCTCCTGAAGCCCCTTCTCCTGGACGAGCAAGTGGACGATCCTCCGACCCAGAAACCCTCCTGCTCCTGTCACGAGGCAGCTCCACTCAGTCATGGCCAATTACAGGTGCAAAAAAAAAAAAAAAAAAAAAAAAAACAGGTGCTGGGAATCAGAAACTCCAGGTAGAAGATCTTGTTATGGTGGGCTCTCCAGAAGGCTGTAAGGAGAGATCAGATGAATACAGGCTTACAGAAGCTCTTTCTAACACTGGAAAAGAAGACCTCCTATTTTGTTCTCCTAGTACACTCGAAACATGGGTCATGTCTGTGGTCTCAGAAATGTGCAACAATGTCATCCACCCAAGAAACAAACAGTCCTATTGCAGACACAAGCTTATATCCTTAAATTCAAATCTTTAACTCTGAGTGCCTGGACACAGCGTCACAGCTGTGAAGGCTCAGGCCTCTTCCCTGCCTCCTTCAGATGCCAACCACAAGCCCCGGTTGTTTTACCTGTGCTTCTGACTGTGTTGCTCTGAACCAGGACTCGTAGCACCTTTCCTTGGTCTTGATGAAGTTGCTTGAGCAGCTAGCAGAACTCTGGTAAACAGTTTTGCAGATTTACTTTGGAGGATTTTACAAACACACAGCAGAAGAGAGGCTTAGATGAAAAGTGTACAGAATTCAGGGCCTTCTGGAAATCCTATGCACTGGGCTATAATGATCTTAAGGAGACTGCTCTACCTGGGTTTATATAGAGACTCTGTTGCACACATGTAATTGAAACAGGGATACAGTGGTAAGATATGATTGGTCTCCAGGTGGATGACTCAATGTGGGGCTGGGTCTGGGTGGGGAAACCTAGCAAGGCCTGTCAGTTTAGATTCTTCAGCATTTCTTCCTTGAGGGCGTGAGGCGGGATCCTTCTGGAATGAGGAGGGTCTTATGCCCTGTAGTACCAGAATGTAGTCAACATTTTTCATGAGCCTGGGGTGGTGCCTAATGGCTAAAGTCTTCACATGGAATGTGCTGGGATCCCATATGAGCGCCGGTTCTAATCCCGGCAGCTCCACTTCCCATCCAGCTCCCTGCTTGCAGCCTGGGAAAGCAGTCGAGGAAGGCCCAAAGCCTTGGGACCCTGCATCCACGTGGGAGACCTGGAGGAAGTTCCTGGCTCCTGGCTTCGGATCAGCGCAGCCCCAGCTGTTGCAGTCACCTTCCACAAACCCTTGTCTCTACTGCGCCAGTGCTGACTTTACAGGATGTTCCCCTTCTCCCCACCCTGAGGATTTTGATAACAGGCTTGCTTGTCTTAGTACTTGGTCAGGAAACTGCTCTCCAGCTGAATGCAGCAGCCCTTTTCATAAACCCTTTAGCCTAGGGGGCACAGCACTTTAAGGAAAACCTACTTGAACACTGCCCTGACATCTTTTGTCTTTGATCCAGGAGGTTTTTTCACCGTCCCAATCTGGCCTCTCTCCTGTGGAGATTGGAACCAAAGGATCTTGTCCCTGTTGCCAAGCTTTATCTTCATTCATACGCCTGTGGTTGTTCCAAGCATTTCAGATCAGATTTCTCATTGTAATCGTTGCCATCTGACTTATAAATTTTCTCCAAACTGGCATAAAAGCAGGCTACTTGTTTGGAGCTTCAATGTTGTACAACCAGTAAGGATTGCTACTTGTCCACCAATCTTTAATGGAGCTGCATTTTAAAAAAGCGGCTTTAATCCTATCAATATCCAGTTCATTCAGTCATTTCTTAATCGGCATTTAAAGGGGCCAGAATGTGGCTCAGTGGCTATGACACAGCCTGGGATGTGCCCCCTCCTCTTCCAATTCAGCTCACTATTAACGTCAGCTTGCTATTATAACCTGGGAAGCAGCAGGTGATAGCTTATGTACTGGGAGACCTTGTCGATTTCCTGATACTCATTTACACATGGCCCTTTTCTGGATTGAGGGGAGTGAACCAGTTAACCAGGTATTTCTCTCTCACTCTCTGCCAACCTTCCTTTCAGATCAATAATAAATAAATTACACGGGAGTTGTCATTAAAGTGAATCATCTAGATTTCTACCCTCTGTGTTGTTCCCTCCCACCCCCGCAACCTTGCCTTAGTTTATGTACTATTCGTATGTGCTTATTTGTAAATAACATTTAAGGATTTTTCGCTGGGCCCAGCTCAATAACTCAGTAGCTAAATCCTTACTTTGCATGTGCTGGGATTCCATGTGGGCACTGGTTCGTGTCCCAGCTGCTCCACTTCTCATCCAGCTCCTTATTTGTGGCCTGGGAAAGCAGTGAAGGATGGCACAAGGTCTTAAGACCCCGCACCCAAGTGGAAGATCCAGAGGAGGCTCTGGCTCCTGGCTTTGGATTGGCTTAGCTCTGGCCATTGCGGCCACTTGGGGAGTGAACCAGTGGACAGAAGATCATTTTCTCTGTGTCTCCTTCTCTCTATAAATTTGCCTTTCCAATAAAAACCAAAATACATAAAAAAAAAGAATTTTCACTTTTCTAGAATGAATTGTTTGAGTCACTCTTTTGCCTTTTGCCCAAGTCTGGCACGGCACTGTCTCATACCCGGTGCAATCTGATGTTTTATTAGCATCAGTGAGACCTATGAGGGGACGATGAGACAGCAAATTTGAGAAGGCCTCTATGACTGTGGCTCGGTGTGAGTTCCTCCTGGTTGACCCTCTGAGCTTGCTCCACAGTGAGCTCTGGGTGCTGCACCAAAACCAACATGAACTTCCACTGTAGCATTTCAAATCTAGGCTTCTGGAGCCAGCGTGTTGCAGAATAAGGTGAAGTTGTTGCTTGCAGTACCTGCAGCCTCCATCAGAGGGCTGAATGAAGTCCCAGCTGCTATACTTCTAATTCCGCTCTCTGCCAATGGGTCTGGGAAAGCAGTGGAAAATGCCCAAGCACTTGTGTTCCTGCCCACTGTTTGGAGATGGCAATGCAGTTCCTGATCCTGTCTTTGACCTGGCTCAGATATGGCTGTTGCAGCGACTCGGCAGAGAGAACAGGTACATGGAGGCTGTCTCTTGCTCACGTTTCTTATTAAAACAAACACATCTTAAGAAACTAAGTTTTTAACTCTAAAATATCCTCGGAATGTTTTGTAGATGTTCCTCGAGATACTGATGACACAGATCTACAAGAATTTGCCCACCCTGTGTCCTGTGGCATTAGTGGTTTGCACTTCTTCCCCCACCGGCTGTGTTTTGGAGATCAAAATCTTAGAGATACTTTCACTTGCCCCTTCAAGGTTTATTCCTTGGGAACAGCTTTAAAAATTGTGAGTTAGGAAAGGAGAGGGTTGAGAGAGAGTAGGACAGAACTCCCATCTGCTCCCATTTACTTCCCAGATGCCCACAACAGCTGTCACTTGGCTGGGCTTAAGACAGGGGCAGGAATTCAATACATCAGACGTGAATTTTAGTAACGGAACTACTGGAAATGTCGGTGATGCATTCCGAGCTCTGTACCTGCAGGCAGCTTGAATCAGGAGTGACGTAGAGACTTGCATCTAAACACTTAGTTCTAGGATGTGATGGCTTCCTGGCTCAGATCCGTGCCTGCCCTCATGGGCAACCTTTGAGGGCAGGTGACAAACGTTCAACAGATTGAAATCAGAATCAGTTTGATTTCAGAATCTGACCCAGAATTCTATCACTTCCATCGTCCTAACACAGACAACAATAATGAGGAAGCTGAGTGTTTTGCTTTGGTCTTTGGGTTTGTCGCTGCTTTCAGGGAACCCGTTCCCTGGTAGGTGGCTTTCCATCTCAGTGCCTTTGGCAACTCTCCATCTTTCATAGCTGGGTGTAGCGTGACTGCTGCTTCACCACAGATGACCACACAGACACCCAGGAGTCAGTTTCTTCATCCCTCACTTTCTGCTTTTTCCCTTCCCAAGTCACACATTTCCACAAGCCAGATCTTTTCTACACAATCCCACTTGAGTGACACCAATTCTGAGATAGGGAAGGAATACCCAACTCAAATTAAGTTCTGCAAGTTTACACTTAGCACACAGGTCACATTTGTAACCTCACAAAGTTCAGGGATTTCTCTCAATCCACCCAGCAAACCAGCTCTTCACAAGCATGAATTGCGCACCTGGAGATAGACCCGCCCCACAGGCTGAAGGATCAGTCCCCAGCAACATTCTCTGCTACAATTATTTTTCTTGTTTGATTCACAGAACTCAAGAAAACACTTGTCAAGTTTGGGGGTGTAGGGGCAAAGGTAAATTTTCCCAGGTCCTCTGAAAGCTCACGCGGAGAAATAACAAAGGTTGAATGAGATAAAAGGATTATTAATGCACAAAAGAAGGATGTCATAGTGTGACAGTGGCGGGGGAGGGGAGGGGTGGAGGGTAGCCTGTGGTTACTTGTTAGTCTAAATGATTCAGAATCATGTACCTCTTCACCTAGAATGCAAGAAGAGAATTATCTAAGCAGGCGATTGTTAGGAGATTGGGAAATGACACTTAGGAAATGACATGAAATGATTCAAGACAAAGTCGATTAGCCCACAAAACAGCAGTTTGTAACTGATTCTCTCTTTGAGATCAAATTAGAGGACACTGGTTTGTGACAAATTCAATCTAGGTGTGTTTACAGTCTTTACTCTTGTATCAATTGACACAGATTCAGTTAGTGAAAATTCAAATAAAACATTTTCTTCACTGAGTGTCCAGAGTTGAAGGAGATCAACTTAAGCTCCATAAATCCTTTAATTTAAACGAATCAGCATGCTAGAATGCCAGGTTCCTGAATCCCTTCACCAATCATCAAAAGAGACACTGCAGGACATTCAAATGAAAAGATGCACAGGAGTGGACAGGGAGATTGTAGGAACTTCTAGAAGCTGTGTGGGAGTTTCATCCACCAGGAGCCTCTACACATCAAGCAATCTGGGAACTCCAAAAACCTTGTCCTTTTATAAAGACTTTGCTGCAAGGCATGAATGGAGCACGGAGAGCTATATCGGCTCTGTGTTAGAAACTGGGGGTGATCCAGAGCTAACAGATTGGCTAAGGAGATTATCTGATTTCATTGCTCAGTACTGAACCTTGAGGGTCTTGGAAAGTTGAGGGGTC